GACAAAATAAGATTGAGTTCTGGGCCAGACACAGTGGCTCATGCCTATAATCCTAGCACTCTGGGAGGCTGAGGCAGGTGAATTGCCTGAGCTCAGGAATATAAGACTAACCCGAGCAAGAACTAGACCTCATCTCTACTAAAAACAGAAAAAAAAGGCATTATAGCGGGTGCCTATAGTCCCAACTTGGGAGGCTGAGGCAAGAGGATCACTTAAGCCCAAGAGACTGAGGTTGCTGTGAGCTATGATGGTATAGCACTCTACTGAGAGTGAGCAAGTAAGACTTTGTCTCAAAAAAAAAAAAAATCTAGCATTCCTGTTCACAAATCTCGAGTGTCTGAGAGATTATTGTACTGACTTGCTAGTGAAGTTGAACCCTGTTATGCATTGGTTCCCATTTTATGTAGTGGCTCAGTCCATTTCTGGGAGGTTGGCCTTCCTGATAAAAGCTGGTCCCTCTTGAAATAAAAGGAAGCATAGCTTTCTAATGAAGCCCTGACATTTTTAAGTAATATTTTGCCATGAACTACAGAGAAATCTGGTGGTGAGGGTCTGTAGTTACTTTCTGTGGTAAGCTTAAGCAAACACTAATTTATGACGGGGGGACGCTCATCAAAATGGAAACGTTAATCTCTGGTGTTTTACACTGGGTTGTCATTCCCTGACTACTAGGAAGATCATTTGGGAGAAAGAATTTAACTGGCTTAATGTGCTTGCCCTGAAGTAATGAGCTGAGTTTGATTGCTGTTAAACACCATAATGCATTTAAAGTTCGATTTCCCTGACAAGCCATTTACTTAAGGGTCTGGATAATATAAATTGGGACAGGAGGTCAGGAGAGGTACTGACATTATCCTGAGGCCAGCATTGCTTTACTGAAACATAAATGTCTCTGAAATGAAAATGTCACCTGGCTCTGGCCATTGGGGAGGTCTTTATGGACATCCCAAGAAAAGGCTTATTTTAAAAATGAATAGTCTCAGCTTTTCAAGATTAAGAGTGACTCATGGCTCTCTCTCCTTCATTCCACCTCATAGATGCTCATTTTGTCTTTTTTTTTTCTCATATTCTGTTCTTCCTTCGACTACTTAAATATCATCCACCAGTTCTGGGTTCTGAGTCTGAACATCAAGGAAGGGAGCAGGTAGAAGGAGGGGAGGAAGAAGAGAAGGATGACAAACTCTTTGTGCTGCCTGGGATGGGGGGGAACATTTTTACTAAAAAGTTGAGGTAATTTCAGATATTGACTTGAAGGAAACTTAAGTAGATCTTGGTGACTTTGTACTTCAGTGAATTATGGATCAAACTTCCTATCACCTTTCCAAAATAATCAGATTGAAACTTTTCCAAATCTGGAGACAGCATAATTACTGTATTAGGCTTTTCCAGTTGCCCGCAAGGTCAAGGGCCTGGGGAAAGCCATTGGCTGCTACCGCAGTAGATGTACTTAAAACCTCAGAAGGTTGAGGTTGGAGAAAACCTGTCACTTTTTTCATGGACCTAAAGATTTACTGCTGTCCTCTTCTGACTGGTAGTGGAATGAATGCTGCTCCTTATCACTTTAACCAGGGGTCCCCGCACTGCGGGTTGATCAGAAAGCTCTAGAATTGTGACATACCCTACAATTATTTGTTAGTACTCTGCTGATCACTACCCTTCCAGAGTTTGGGCAAATTTACGTCCCCCCTTGGAACCTCAGGGTTCTTAACCACAGAATGTTAGATGCTACCCTGCTGGCCCTTGGGATGTTGAAATCTTACCAAAGAGCAGGATGGGGAAGATGGGAAAGTAGGACCTTCTCTGCTAATATGTGGTGTTCACAAAGATCAAGGCAGTCTTGCCCATAATGGCTGCATTCTCTCTCCTTTGTGTCTAGGCTGCTTCGAATGCTGCATCAAGTGTCTGGGAGGAGTCCCCTATGCCTCCCTGGTGGCCACCATCCTCTGCTTCTCTGGAGTCGCCTTGTTCTGTGGCTGTGGGCATGTGGCTCTCGCAGGAACTGTGGCGATTCTGGAACAACATTTCTCCACCAACACCAGTGACCATGCCTTGCTGAGTGAGGTGTAAGTATCCACTTCCCTTTAAAAATGTATTTAAGGGCCAGGCACAGTGGCTCACGCCCATAATCCTAGCACTCTAGGAGGCCTAGATGTGTGGATTGCTTGAGCTCAGGAGTTTGAGACCAGCCTGAGGAAGAGGAAGACCCCCCTCTCTACTAAAAAGAAAAACTAGCCAAGTGTTGTGGCAGGTACCTGTAGTCCCAGCTACTTGGGAGGCTGAGGCAAGAGGATTGAGGTTGCTGTGAGTATAATGCCACGGCACTCTACCCAGGGCAAAAGAATAAGACTCTGTCTCCAAAAAAATGTATTTAGGATGAATCTACCTTGTGACATTTTCACAAAGTGTGCTCTCCTGGTAGAAAACTGATGCTTCTAATTAAAGCTCACTATATGCAGATAGAAAAGGTCCAGGAGAAAAGGAAAAAAAGACCAAAAATATGGTGGGTATTTAGGCTCTAAAGTGGGATCTCACTTGGGAATGGCAAGGCTCATGCATAGGACATTCTGCACATGGTAGCCATGGATGTGGGGGACTATGATAAGGTAACAGGTGGTGATGCTGATTAGTTCACCAGAGTTCGCTTTGTTCCCAAGTAACAGATACTTCAGCTTTCTTCCGTGAAATGATTCTATCCCTGAATTGATAGGACCCCTGTTGAAGACTGACTCTAGCTCAAAACATCTACAGGAGCAGTATTTTAGAAAAGAGGAAGATGGCATATGTGTATACAGGGGATTATTCCCAAATCTCTGCCTTTTCATTCTGGAATCATTCTCAGCAGAGTCACGTTGACTTCCACATGTAGATTCCCATATCTGCAAGAACAGCAGCCATCTACTTATGTATTTCAGATATCTAGCCCCTTTCTACATTTCCTTCTGCATTTTTTTCTTTTTTTGAATCTCAAAATTTCATAGTGTTTAGGCTGTGTCTTGAGTATAAGAAGCATTTCTACCAGACTAAAAAGGCATGGATAAATTTTTATAGAACAACGATGGAATCATGTTGGAAGAGTCTTTATGGAATGTTATTTTTGTATCTATTCACACATGACATCCAAAGTAATGGGGGCCTTATAAGGAAGGATCAAGCAGGACAAGGAACTCCATCAGTGCCAACCACACAAACAACTACATACCAGGAATAAATGTGGGAAAGGTATACTGAGTTAATTAACTAGTGATCCCAATCCATGGCTCTCAAACTTCTGAGAAGCTTCAAAAACTCTCCAGGCCTAACCCCAGACCAATCAAGTCAACGTGTCTGGGAAGGGATCCAGATACCACCAGTATTTCCTAAAACTTCCTAGATGATTCCAATGGGTGGCCAAAGGCTGGGGGACTAGTCATCTGGGTCTTTGTTAGCTTTTGTAGGACAAACTTAGTTGTGAATTAGCTTTCTGTATCCTAAACCTATTTGACCTACTGTCACTTGTATGGTGGGATTCTCAGTGCAAAGAACATCTGCCTAAGTTACTCCTCAAAGAAGCCCTGAGTGCTTCATAGCTCACAATAACCTCAAACTTGTGAGCTCAAGTAATCCCCTTGCTTCAGCCTCCCAAGTAGCTAGGACTACAGGTTCCCAGCTAATTACCTGGCTAATTTTTCTAAGACTTTTATCAAAATAAAATTAAGCAATATCTGCCTGGGAGGTATTCTGATATGGCAGAAAGAACGTGTTGGCCGTTGGACCAGGGCTCAAGTGCTTGCTCTGCCTCTTATTGTGTATGCGGAGATGAGTAGCATAACTTCCTGAGACTGTGTTTACCTACACGCAAAATGAGGATTCTCACCCTCACTGCACAGGACTTGAGTATTAATAGATTACAACTAGGCCCTGCCACTGACTGAAGAAAACTTTTCCCTTGCCTCTGAAGGTTGCCCAACTCAACTGTAACTGTGGGCCCACTTTGGAAGGGAGGCCTAGGTTGCTGGGGTGTGGGCAGGTATGCCTGCTGAGGATACCCCATGAGCCCACCTAAGTCATCAGTAGGGTGGGAGATGCCACCCCAGGTACATCCCCCTGAAGTCCTCTAGAGTCTAGAACCACACTGGCTACCACGCAGTGAATTTAACAGTTCAGGGCCTCTTCTTCGTCTTGTAGGATCCAACTGATGCAGTATGTCATCTACGGAATTGCATCCTTCTTCTTCCTGTATGGGATCATTCTGCTGGCAGAAGGCTTTTACACCACAAGTGCAGTGAAAGAACTGCATGGTGAGTTTAAGACAACCGCCTGCGGCCGCTGCATCAGTGGAATGGTAAGTACAAACCTCTGGGAACTGATTGATAAACCACCAGAGCCTTGCGGGTATTTCTTCATATTGGGTAAAAACTACCAGCTCTTTGAGAGTAGATCCAGGACCCAAGTATTAATCTTTCTGATTTAAAGTTAGGACTATGAATCCCTTTAACATGATATTGATAAGAAATTAAAATGTAATTTTAATTTCTTAAAACAGTAAAGTGGTAAACTTAAATGTTTCTCTTATTAGTGTAGTACAGGTGATAAAGCTCCTCAAGATTTCTCACATTTCTCAAATTCTTACTATAGAAGTTCCTACTGTAGACAACATTCATATTGTCTCAACGTTGTCTTTTATCTTTCAAATATAGATCACGGGGCTGGGTGCAGGGCTGGGAGACCAAGGTAGGTGCATTGCCTGAGCTCAGGAGTTC